GACAAATTTGAACTGAAATCGCATCAGCTAGTGGGTTGTAGGCGGACTTTTCCGGAGTCAGTTTCAATTCTGCAGAGGAAAGTAGACAAAGATGACTTATAAATGGATGCACGCAAAGAATACTGGTCATGCTGCTATGACAGTCCGAATGTCTGTTGGGAGCAAACCAGTCTTATTGTGAAGTTACAGTGAAACCGTTTTGAATGCATGAGGATGGGATATTCCACGTCAAGTTCTCCAGCATTATAAGAGGGAGATGGTTTCTGGTCATTAACATGTCATAATTTGTTACCTTCAGAAAATTGCGCTCTAACAGTGCGAGACCAAGGGCGCCTATGAATACATTGAAACACCGAGAAAACGTAAGCATTGTGATCTTACATAGAAGGTTGCTCTCTTGAACTGAAAATGGAAAGTAAAGAGGTCACGTATTCTGCCAATATTAAGCTTATTTGGACATCATTGTGCGAAGACTGCAGACAAAACGTGGGTAGCAGTCGTGGACGAAGTCTGATAGAGGCAAGAGCGCAGTTGATAGAAACCCGCAATGCCTTTAAATATGTTGAGAGGATGAAGGAGAGAGGCGCGAGGGAGCCTAGTTATCTGAAACCAACATCAAACAGGTGTTTACAATTAGTATGTCCGAAGTGATGTGAGCAAGCATTGCCCCAACGACAGTGGTGACATGGGCGCGACTTTGGTTAAAGTTTTGTAAGCTAGAGCATGTTGGAGATCAGTTCCGTCCCCATAGGCATTATGTTCGGGTAGCACGACATGATCGAGAGTACTGCAGAAAGGCGTGTATGCAATGGATGGTAGGATGTGAAGCCATCGCCAACTCTCCAACTCAAGGTGCATGTTATTCATCGCATAGAAATTGGGTCTCGGATGTAGCATATGGGTGAAGAGTGACATTAAGAATTTTGTACATGCCTTATGAGCACGTAATTATTAGTTGAGTGCGGGGGATCATTCATAATTGACACTTACTATCGTGGTCTACAATGACTCTAAACATCGATTGGCAGTCATGAAGTAGGCATCGGATTTCAAACACACTTGGTATGTCCATCTTGGTGGGTAAGCGCATGGTTAGTGCGCTAAACTCGACTCCTGGCTTGCTGCTGTTACAAGTCAAATTGGCGAAAGCGAGCGCGCATGCGGTGGCATTTGCAAGCAATGTCCTTGTGTATGATGATTGGGATTCACACAAGACAAGCGGTTTGGAGTGTTTCGGCGGTAAATATCGTGGCTCCTCACTGCACGAAAGAGTTTGCATAGGTTTAAGGCCTATCCTTTTCACCACAGGCATCAAGTTCTTGAGGTCCGTGATGGTGCTGATCAGGACGGTGGATCGGCAGTAGAGGTTGGTCAGATTGATTTGGGTGGAAAGACCGTCTCGCAGGATTGTGGTACCCTGGTTATCAAGGATTTTCGTTGTCAGGTCTGTTGAATAGCAAATTGGACCAGCACAAACCTTGAGCGATGGGCGGGCGGTCCTCGGATCGTACGTGCTCGCCTCCGGCTGCATCACAATGCCTAGAATATGTGAGGACAAGTTACTCTTCACATTAACGATACTCAACATGTAACAGTGCCTATGGTGAATGAGTCATGAAACAACATATTTCGTGTACCCGAGGATCTGCAAATTGGTGCGATAGGCAAATAGAGGATAAATGTCATTTGCCCGTTTCTATTTTAGGAGGAGATTCAACTGATGGGACACAAATATTAGTCACGCTATGTTTCACAGACACATTAGCGAACTGACCAATACATGGGGTACAAATTTTGATTATTTATTACTTACCGCTAAGAGGAGTCTGCCAGAACCTCAAACTGACCCAGTATGTCCAATGGGTGGCCCTGCGTCCGGGAGTTCCGTATGAACGATCGGTGAGCGCCCCCTAACATTGTATATTCCCGATCGAAAACCGACAAGGCAACGGGCTCGTGGCCCGGTGAGTAGAGGCGTTGACTTCTAAACCAACAGGTCGCGAGTTCGAGGCTCGGGTGTTCCCCACTTCGGGCTTGGGTATGGCTGGCTGACGACGGTTAATAAGCCAGAAATGGCCATTCCAGTCTTCCTTGTCTTTGTCGGTAATATCATTCTGCCTATATATCATGCGCCACTGTGCGGCTGCTGGTTGGGCTCGAGAGAGAGTCCTTAAGGCACAGCGGAACGAGTGAGTTCCGTACGAACGATCGGTGAGCGCCCCCTAACAGGATAAATGTCATTTGCTCGTTTCTATTTAAGGAGGAGATTCAACTGATGGGACACAAATATTAGTCACGCTATGTTTCACAGACACATTAGCGATCTGACCAATACATAGGGTACAAATTTTGATTATTTATTACTTACCGCTAAGAGGAGTCTGCCAGAACCTCAAACTGACCCAGTATGTCCAATGGGTGGCCCTGCGTCCTGGACGGTAATTAAGTCTGATTGGTGGATGTCATTCTCACGTGACTTTGAGTATGTGAGATGGCAGCCCACAGGTCGGTATCGCTCGGCTCATCTGACAGACCACCAAACGCACTGACAGTCTAGGTCCGCATCCAAACCTCATGTCTAACAGGATTGAATTTCAGTTCAAGGCCGACCGATGACGGCGACAATTCTCGAAATGACTGTTTCGACTTTTAGTACAACCTAACAGGAGCTATTTCTGTGTTGTCTTGCGCATAACATGTTCAGCCGTTGTTCTTATCTACTATCACATTCAAGTGTTCATTCTCGTCTCCAATCTGGCCGCTTATGCGCATACACACAACGGGTTCAGTTCAGTGTATATGAGGGAAATAGACCCACAAAATGGAACTCCTTTTTGCCGCAGGCAAATTGAAAGAATTTACAATAATTTGCAAGCATTACAGTGCTAAGTGAAAGGAAACTTATGTCACAGTATTGCATTTCTTCTAAGGGTAACATAGTCATTTAGTCGCTTATTGCTGCAGCATGTTCCTCCCAAGGCGATGATTGAATGTCTCTACAGTCTGAGACATTACAATCGCCTCGACTAGGTTATTCCAGGATTCCGCTTCACGATTTGTGAAATAATACTTTATCACATGAAATCATCCCTGGGGCACACAACAGTTTGAAGGCTTGCCCACGGTGGTTGGCTGTGGTGACGAATTGGACTATGTCACCCCAAATGGAGGACACATTCCTGATCAAGCACGATACAGAAAGCCTGCATCAGATCTCCGCACAATCGTCTTTAAGACAGGGGATAGAGATTAACGTCATGTAGGCCGGTCTCCTATGGCAGTGCTCCATGATCCCTGACCACTTTCGTGGCTCGCCTTTGCACTCTTCCGAGTCGGTTGTAATCCTCCTGGACCCAAGGTCTCCAGGCTTAGTTGGCATATTGAAGAGGCCCCATTACAAACATACATAGGAGACTGGATAAGTATTTTTCATTAACATCTGTGAATGCCCGCTTAAGGGCCTACAGAATTGCAATTGCAACCTCAGTCGCTTTCCAACAATGTTAAGGTGGCTTTATGTTTTTCATCATCCAATCGACGAGATCTTACTGTGTATTGGATTTTCTGAGTGATTTCAGATTTAGATGTTAAGCACACTTATGGGGGACCTGGTTTGCACTTCTGAGACGCAGCTTAGTGCATTTGTTCCAATTGAATGCCAGAAGACATCTACGGAATCACTTTACCAATGCATACAAAATGTCTTGGAAGTTCGCCTCGTGGTTAGCGCCGTGGATGACCTTCCTGACTTCTATATCATCCGCAAGCATGGCACACTCACAGACCACCATAAATAAGGAGGAAAAAGAGTGTTGGTTCCAGCAGTGAGCTCTGTGGAACTACGGCCTCCATGACTGTGCGCATGGATTGATGTTGTTACACATAGACATGTTGACAAATACCAACGAGGAAATTTTCCATCCGTTTAGGAAGTTTGCTGCTGATACCCATTGCCCTCAAATTACGCATCAGACGCCGGCGTGGAGCACTATCGAAGGCCATCCTAGAAGCAATGTAGGCGGCCCACCGTGTGTTTGTCATCCAGTGATCTTGTTCAACGTTGCATCGTTTAAGGCAAGTTCGTGACACACAATCTTCCCCTACGAAAGCTGCACTGTGCATTGGGCAGAACAATGCCGTTTTCCAACCGAATCATCAAGGTCTTTGTGGCGGTCATTTTCGTGACTTTGCAACAAATTAATGTCAGACTTACGGGTTTGCAGTTGGCCGCAAGTGCACGACTACCACTTATGTGAATCGGTGGATTGTGTGCGAGAACCCGTACAACATATCAGATAAGCCAAAGTTGCGTTTATGACGCCCTTTATTTTTGGGCCTATATTTATGCATGTGAATGGCAGTAGTTAAGTAAGGTATGATCCGGTGTATCCTCGTCGTGATAAAGCTTGGAGTCTCCACCTACCAGCCCATATATGCTAAAAATGGCTGTCGGCCGACGGCCAAGAAGCCTCAAATGGCCGTCCTAGTCTTCCTTCTCTTCGTCGGTAATACTTCCTACACGAATCTTTACCCATATCTATGTATGCTATGGGCGCTCAGCCCTCCGCCCAGCACGCAGATGGGAGACCTTCGCGAAGCGAGAGTCCTCCACCTACGCTCAGCTGAAATTCCTGCACAGGTGCCTTGATGAGAACGTCCTTCCAATGTGCCTCAGATATAGACCGCCTGTGTACTCTGACCTTTGCCAACGGACGACGGCAGACTTAAAGAAAAAAATGATCAGAGTGCTGATACGAGACTGCCACGCTCGCATTCACAAATACCGCCAGATGATTGAGCAGCATTCGTTAACTTGCCAGTCGATCTTTACGGCACACGGGCTGGGAATCCTCAAAGCGGCAATTCTCGACAGTGCACGACATCACCGCAAATTGCGTGATGACCAGTTGTCTGGAAAATTTGAGAAAATAAGTCCGCCAAAGGAGCCCTCCACTGATGGCGTCTTGGTTCACAACTTGTCCTCCCACCGTTTCACTCAGCAACAACTAGCCATTCTATCCTATGACGCAAAGTTCAGCACAAGAGATGCTCGACCAAAAGACTTTATTGCATCCTTCGAATCGGCGCTCCAGAAGTGCGAGGCAGGCGAGGAGTGCAAATACGCCATGCGACAACAAGTGTCGACTTTACTCCTTCAACATAAACGCCAGACGACGATTTCTAAGGCAGAAGATCGAGAACTTCTGAAAATACGAAGACTAGAGGATATCTTCACCCTGCCCGCCGACCAGGGGCGCTCTACTGTTGTAATGGATAAGGCTGAGTACTGCAAAAAACTAGGCAACCTCTTGATGGACGAGGAAGCTTATGCGCCATCGACTGTCAGCGAGTTCAAAAAGCTCGTTAACAGCATAAACAAGACGATCGGCAAGCTGAGGAAGGCGGGCGCTCTTACTAGAAGGGAAGCGCTGGCCGCAAAAGCCAGTGATACCGCAATGGCGCGCTTCTACGGCTTACCAAAGGTCCACAAGCCGGGAGTGCCGCTACGCCCCATCGCCTCCTTACGTGGTACCCCAACCTTTGGGCTGTCAAAGTGGCTGTACCAGCGACTTCGTTTCCTTACCAAGGATTCAGAGTGGACAGTGAAGTCGGCTGAAGAGTTTTTGGCACGCATCAAACATCTGGAAGTGGAGGCAGATGAGGTGATGGTGTCTTTTGACGTGATCTCATTGTTCACCTCCATCCCACCCGCGCTGGCTATCGACACTATTGACGGTTTTCTCCGGGAAAAGTATGATGAGACCGATCAACAGCTCAAACGAGTTCACATCATCGAGCTCCTAGAACTATGTCTTAAGACGTTCTTTACATTTAACGGCCAGGTCTACGAGCAAAAGAAGGGGACACCGATGGGCTCGCCTCTATCTGGATTAATTGCCGAAGCGGTTTTGCAGAGG